TTTCTATCTTACATTTCACTATTAATTTCCAAGTTATATGTTGGATAGCTTTCAATAACATATGTTTTAGAGATTACGTACGAAATATTTCTCTGAAATGTTTTGTAATATTTCTGAAATATTTCAGTGAGAAGGATCATAAATGATTTCGATAAAACGTTTCAGAAATACTTCTGAATGATTTCAATGTTACATTTCAATATTAATTTCCAAGATATCTTTTGGAAAGCTTTCAATGACATGTGATTTTGATGAAACGTTTCAAAGATATTTCTGAATGATTTCAATTTTACATTTCAATATTAGTTTCCAAGTTATCTTTCGGAAAGCTTTCTGAAACTTGTTTTGCTGTGTGGGTTCTTATATTCTTCAACCTTGTATTGTAAAGATTTTAAAATGTCTGCACTTATACCAGGGCTAAAATCGAATTTTCTATACCATTGACGTACAGTCTCCGGATGTGGTAAGCCACTAATCACCTGTCTTGTATACTCGTAGGCAGCCGCCGAATAGAACATCAAGCTAGGTGCAAACTCTTTCAATTCATCTGGATAATAATTTTTTTTGTAGATAGGACATTTTGGAGGATTTCGGTCAATGCAGGACTTATTGTACGCTATTAGGAAAAAATAGAAATAAATACAGGTTACGTTAGACTTGTGCTTTGTATTATTTTATTTTCATGTTAACAAATGTACAGTGTAAATTATGATATGTAAATATCACAAAATGTGTATGAGGTATAACGTAAAAAATGGTAATGATGGCTTATTATGTATAGCATACATGTTCCGAAGAGATTCATTTTTAGAATGATTTATAATACATTCAATTTCAATTATAGTTAAAAAAATTGATCAAATAAATGAAATAATTTTATGTACAATTAATAATTTAATTATATATGAAATAATATAATTCCTAACATTGATTGAAAATCTTATTAATGATTTACAAAAAAACAATTCGCAGTAAATATTACTTCAGGGATCTCTCTGGATAGATTTAGAACAACTCAAAGATTTATGCTTCATAAAACTTCGGGTGAAATCAGACTGTGAACTTTAGACTCTTACCTTAGCCCGGGTCTACAATAGGTGTAGTAAGCCTTAAGCCGTAAAAATTGACCAATCACAGTCTGAAGCGAGGAGAATAATCGCTTGTGATTGATCAATTTCTTATGGCTTAAGGATATAAAATCATTTCTACACCTATTGTAGACCCATATAAAATCATTACTACACCTATTGTAGACCCAAGCTAACTCATACCTTTTAAAGATATTTATTACTTAATATGGATGAACATCGATTAATGCAATAAATATCTTTAAATGGTACGAGTCTAAAGTTCATTGGTAACATGAATCGTTCATGAAACCTTTAAGATTACATCTTCAAGTTTAGAGAAATGTTTCATGCTACTAGGCCATAATCAAAATAGTGGTATCATAAACATACCTTCAGATCATCGACAGCATTACTTGACAGAAGATTTATCGTGTAACTGTGAAAGCAAATCTTTAAGGTTTTTGACTTTCTTTGATAGTCGACTAACTTGCTTTTGGAGACTATTTACTCGGGTTTTGTGTGTTTTCAGATATTTCTTAACCACATTATAGCATTCGGGCGAAGTAAAATCTTCAGGGCAAAGATCTCCAATAAATTTGACAGTTCGTACCTTATTGCATGTGGTGGCTTCGTCTGTAGATCGTTTTCTTTTTCTGTAAAAACAAAAAAATATGAAAATGATGCTGTTTAAAAATTTTATATATTTTTCTTACTATATGTTGTGACTTACCTTGTTGACATTGAATCGTTCTGATTATTGTCCGCATTATATAGAGGCACAGGAGATAAAACATCTTTAATTTCTCTAGGGTGTTGGACTGCTGAATTTTCATTATTTAAGATATTTACTGATAGTTCTGATAGTTCTGATTCACAAGATTCTGACTTTTCGTTGACCAACTTCAATTCCCTAATGATAATAATTTTTTTATAATAAAGAATAAATGTTATTCCGGAGTTTTATCAGATAAATTTACCTTGTATCGTGTAAACCCTGGCATTTTTCTGCTGTAGGAATTGCTCCTTTTATTAAATGTCTTTGAATGTTATTAAGCTTATTGATTTTATATTGGAAAAAACTTGGTTTAAAATGATCACTGCACACTTTGCTGTAATTAGAAACATTTTTTCCGATTACAGCAATCCACTTTGCTCTCAAATCTTCTGACCGTGGTATGCTTGAAAAAAATGTTTATTATAAATACATTGTAGGTTAGGTATAAACCATTTTTGTTTCAATTCAAAGTAATATACGTACGTATGGAATGTAATATCTGCATGAGAGCCAGAATGCGATTTGCAAATGCAGCAATAAGACATTGTTTATTTTGTATTTTACGAAATAAATTTATAAAATATCTATTGCTGACAGCCTATACCAGAGTACGCTTGCCTACGCCGCACTATAGAGTGGGTCAAGGGAGAGTGTGGCCAGTAATCCGGAAGCCGCCATTTTGAGAACAATCAGATTGAATTAAGCGCGACTTTCGAAAGCGTATATATATTGTAAATGTGAGAGAACATAGCTACCTTGGTAAATAAAATTTTTAAGGATTGAAAATAATGTAAAATAAATAATCACTTATCACTTTTTATAAAAGTTTATTTATTTAAGAAAAATATTACATCACTAATAAGTTATAGTATAAATCCTTGTCCATGATCTGAGAATTGTGTTCAAGTTCTACTTCTAATTATAAAAGATGTGTAGCCAACTTGCAGCTTTTACAGAAAAGCGGCAATTTCATCATACAGCTTAAGGCCAATATTACATTTGTTGTACAACAAATTTTTTAATCGTACTGATTGACTATAAAATATAATTTTTAGAGACCCGAGAAATTTTCTATTTTGCAGCCAACATACTTAAAAAATTTGTAGTACAACAAATTTAATATCGGCTCAATACTTACAATTAGTTTCGAAATATTAGAGAAAATCGTTAAATAGAATATGCATGATCTTCACTCATCGTACTTCCATGATGAAATCAATCGTATTTGTTCAAATGTAGACACCAATTTGTTAATATTGCAGATTCTCCAATGATGCTTTTACTATCTGGAACGAATATACAGGTAATGTAAAGGTTATATTTTGAAATGCACGTGATTATGTTGTTCGAATTATTGATAATTTATTACAGAAATTATAAAATATGTGATATTTTCCAAAAAGTAGGATTAACATTAAGTAATCTCATAAAGAAACAAACGAACATTAACATAAAGTAATCACATAAAGTAACAAACGAAGAAACCATCAACTTTACAAAACATATAACTCTTATTTTGTACGGATATGCATTGCCATCGTCTTACTGGCATAAGTATTTTTAATACTAACTTTAGATTTGTTTGAGTAGATTTTCAATCTGAATACAGTAAACCTTCGAATGATTTTCTTTTTTAATTGATGACATTCAGGTAAAAAAAAGGAATAGCTTCGAACTTAGAAATAAACAGATTGTTAAGTAATCTCATAAAGAAACAAACGAACATTAACATAAAGTAATCACATAAAGTAACAAACGAAGAAACCATAAACTTTACAAAACATATAACTTTTATTTTGTACGGATATGCATTGCCATCGTCTTACTGGCATAAGTATTTTTAATACTAACTTTAGATTTGTTTGAGTAGATTTTCAATCTGAATACAGTAAACCTTCGAATGATTTTCTTTTTTAATTGATGACATTCAGGTAA